TTGGCTTGTCCAGCTGACACCTGCTCTCCCCTCTCCCACAGCGTGCTTACTCTTCCTCTGCCCTATATTTTGGTCCAGTAGCCATCTCTGAGGTTTCTATTACTCTTCTCTTGAACAAAGCTGAAGATCTTTTCTCTGCTTCTATCTTTGTAGCTCTACTACCTGCAAGAAATGGTACTGATCATTTCATTATCTTTGACATACTTCTGGGGGTAGGCAAGGGATCTTCTAACCTCTTATTCATCATTCTTAAAGCACCTTCGCTGATTTTGCTTCCTGTTCAGCTTTACAACCAAGCTTCTTCTCTTTCCTTATCTACTGGCTATTCCCACATGTCAGTGTTTTCTCCCTCATCTCCCATTTACCTGTCTGCATGGTGGAGCCATGTTCCCATAGTTCATGACGTCTCTCCAGCCTTCACCTCCATCAGCAAGAGGCTATCAGAAAGCCTGGGTTTGGGCCAGTGCCTTAGAGTTGGACTCTGCTTCTCTGTCCAGTCTCTTAAAATTGAAGCCTTAATTGGACTCTTCATCTGCCTTTTAGTCTCACCTTTACATGCTCTCTCTCAGCTCACCCTCAACTCCATGATCTCTGACCTACTAACCAACCCAGAATGCCGAAGTTCTTAGCTCATACTTGGCAGAGGTGGGCAGGGGTGTTCTACTGGGTCAGGAGTCAAATTCAGACGACTCAAGTTAAATGACTTTTCTATTTATTTATTTATTTTTCTTATCTTTGAGTTTCCTGAAAATACATCTCTTCATACGTGCAGAATGTTATGTTTCAGCCAATGGACTTGACCTCTGGTGACCCAAATCTACAGAACAACAACCCTCTTGAAACTGTTCTTGATCCTTGATCTGGCTCATCTATGCTCATGACCTTGTATTTATATTGGTCAAGTCCTCTTTCCATTTTCTAGAATCATATAACGTATTATTTTTAGTATATCTCTTAGACTTCCTGCTCTTAGAGAAGTTTATTTATTGGTTTGTTCATCATCCGACAGACACATATTGAACCCCTACTGGTTTATGCTATAGATAGTCAGAAGCCAGTCAGGGAGTCGGACAAAATAAAGGGCTGTGTCAGTTAGTATGCTTCTTATTGCTAGTAACAGAAATCCTGATTCCAATGACTTAAGCAGAAATAGAATATATTTCCCTCACCTACCTGGCAAGTCTAGGGACAGATCTGTTTTCCTTCAGGCACAGCTGGATTCATGGATCGTAATGCTGCTTTTGGGACCTAGCCTGTCTTCATCTCTCGGCTCTGCTCTGGTTTGTGATGGCTTCATTCTCAAGCCCTCTACATGGTGGCAAAATGGATGTCAATAGCACCAAGGCCACATCCTTCTCAGTCCCAGAACAGTAAACAATACGCTGCTTTCTCAGCAATCCTACCAAGTGTTCTGCTAAGTCTTGTGGTTTCTGACTGGACTGTGTGCTCTTCCCCAAACCAATGACTGTCACCAGGCGAATTCTGGTCAGATGCTCTGATTGGTCAGACTGGAGTCATACATCTCCTTATAGCTGGGTGTGGAGTCAGCTCTACACAAACACTTCAGTTGAGAGCAAGGGATACAGCGGTTCGTTCCCCTGAAGTAAAGGTGATAGATGTGGGATGGTTTAAAAAAAAAAAAGCTGTCAGGCAACCACATAAGTGTAGGGTTAGAATTACAGATGGTCAAGTCTGGCAAAGAGAACGTTTGACTCAATATAGGGTGAGCAAAGACCCACTCCTATACTCCCTGCCTTCTTCCTTTCCTTTTTTCTTCCTTTCAGCAAAATTTAGTGAATGGCTACTTTGTTCTAGGTGCAGAGAATACACTGTCCTAGAAGTGGACTCTGCCCATAAGAAGCTTACAGAGTAGTAAGGAAGAGAGATGGCCAGGGTGATGGTCTCACATTCATTGAGAATTTATATTTTGAGAAATAGAAGTATGAAGAGCATTTCTGTGTTTTTTAAAATTAAAAAGACAGCTCCAATCATTATATCATTTAACATCTTAGACTGTCTCAGTGAACTCTGCTTTGTTCACTGCTTAGAATAAGTCTCTCTGGTATGCTTCTCTGAATAGTGAAGACTCCATAATCCACTTTTATTTTTTTTGCCTAGGCTGCTGCAAAAAGCAGTAAAACCTTTGTGTAATTGAAAGTAGCTTTCTTTAGATTAGGTTTCCTTTGAGATTTGTTTGCTTTTTTTTTAGTCCTTGATTTATGGGTTTGTGGTTTTATTGTGCCAGGGACTTTTGTAGTAAGGTGCTTCAAAATATACGGATACAACAGAGATAAACAAAATACCTTTAATTTACACTTTTACCTTAACAGTCTCTACTTCTGACCTGTGGCAAGTTGTTAATGCATCTCCCACCAACGCCAGTCATTTTCCATCCCATATATAGACATCTCGATATGTGTATACACAGCTTGTATGTTGAGAGTTGATTCAATGTTGAAATGAACACGTGGATTTGTACATTTTTTTTAAAAAGCAACAAATATGAAATTATTTCTGTGACATTCAAGATTCAGCAATCCTTGCGTTATTTTTTAGCCGTAGTTTTTATTTTGTTCTGTACTACTGAAACAAAGTCTAAGAAAAGCAGCACAAATAATCTGAGGTTTAGGGAGTACGTTAATATGGTGGTTGTCAACTGGAGACATTTGGCAGTGACTGGAGTCACTCTTGGTTGTCGTGATTACTGGAATCTTGTGGGCAGAGGCCAGGGACGCTGCAAAGCATGCTAAGATGCACAAGACAGGCCCCATAACTAAAAATTATCCAGTCCAAAATATTTATAGCACCTAGCAATAATAGGATTTTTGGAATTCTAAACATTGAAAAGATTCAGAGCAAGTTTGTAATTTAGGTTTAAGTCAAAGATAGAGGAAAGTTATAGTTATAGAACCCTGGAGCTGAAAGGAAAAGTCATTTCGTCCAGTCTACCCATTTTCTAGATAAGGTAATTAAGCCACATAGGAAAAAAGTGACCTGAAGCAACCTAACTCCTTCACCTCCTAAACATGGGATAGGGCAACTTGTCTAACTTCTGTGTGCCTGTGTGCCTCCCTTTTCTCGTCTGCAGAAAGGGATGTTACAAATTGCTTGTACTCACTTCGGCAGCACATATACTAAAATTGGAAGGATACAGAGTTATCAAAAAACAAAACAAAAAAAGAACTAACCTCAAATGATTGCTGTGAAGATTAATTAAAGTGTAATATGGCTGAGCGCAGTGGCTCAAGCCTGTAATCACAGTACTTTGGGAGGCCAAGGCAGGTGGATCACAAGGTCAGGAGTTCAAGACCAGCCTGGCCAACATAGTGAAACCCCGTCTCTACTGAAAATACAAACATTAGCATGGTGGCATGCGCCTGTAGTCCCAGCCACTCGGGAGGCTGAGGCAGGAGAATCACTTGAACCCAGGAGGTAGAGGTTGCAGTGAGCCAAGATCACGCCACTATACTCCAGCTTGGGCAACAGATTAAGACTTCATCTCAAAAAAAAAAAAAAAAATGTAATACACGAAAAATGTTTAGTACAGTACTTGGCCCTAGTGCACTGTTAATAAATAGCAGTGGTGAGTGCTGAGGTTGTGATTGGCATTTCTGCTCTTACCCAGAGTCAGAGCTGGTTTGCAGTTTGTTTAACCCTGTTCCCCTGACTCTCATTTCCGTTTTCTTTCTACTACACTGCCTCAAGGGACTATGCAGAAAGGTTATAGGGGCAACTTAATGGAGATTAAAGACTAGTGTGGACAGCAGCTAAATTCTCCATAAAAGACAGAAAGTGGGTTTGTAGATTGCAGGTGGAGAGCTTCTAGGAAGACATAAGGAAGATTGGTCATATCTGTAACAGATTATTTTCCCAAAGCTCTGTGAATGGTGTTCCAGGTGGTCACGCCTCCTGGTGAAGCCTAGACAACGTGACCTTTTTCAAACCCTATAGCCCTGACCACATTCACATGGAGGCAAGATGGCTGTCTTTCTGTCAGAGTCTTTGAAATGTTGGGGTGGTATAAACAATATAGACAGTACATGTGGGGACCTTTCCAGCTCTAAGATTCACTGGTGTCTGCTAAGTTTTGTGGACCTCAGGTTGGTAAGATCACGTGACATTATAGAGCATGCCCAATAGGCTTATGTAGACAATCACAAACCTCTTGTTTTATGGTTTGGGGAATAAAATGTTTTATTAGATTTTTCTAATTCAGTCAACATGAACATATGATTAAGATGTTGTGTAAAATGCTTTTTCCTCTGAAAACAGTAATATATTACCAACAATTCTCTGAAATAGATTTTCTCTTATTTTCTTAAATGACTTATAAAAATTCTTTGCAGTCATTCTGAGTTGAGTTTTTACTTCTCTTGTTACGTTAGTCAACTAAATTGTTTTTAATTAGTGGCTTTCTACAGAAATCTGCAGAATTAAAAGCATTAAAACTCTTCTGTATTACGAACATAGATTAAACTGCTCTTGAGGGAAAATCTCATTCATGGATTAGTCTTCTCTTGAAAATCTCATTTGTTGGCTTGAACTCCTAAAATGAGTTCACATCCCACAAAAATATTCTGTATAGTCAATCAAAGACATTTTCTCCCACATCAAGAAGAACTTGGTGAGAGAAAACTGAGTGAATCTTAGTTGATTTTATCTGTTTTCTATATATTTGTTTGCCATTCAAGGTCCACAAAGCAGTCAGAGAAGGGCAACACATGCCTGTCCAATGAGTGCTGACTGAGCACCAGGAGTTAGAAGTTGAGTGATTTGCTCTGAGTCACACAGTTGGTAAGCAAGAGAGCCAAGACAACACAGCTCTGCCTGGCTCCCAAGTACCTGAACATGCACTGTTTGCTGCATCCTGGTTCTTGACAGAGAAGGACTTACTAGGATAATAAGTAAATCCCCTCTGAGATCAGACTATTCTCAATGCAAAATGCCTCCCTTAGATTATTATTTCGTATTTTCCTTTGACCTTCAACTTTTTCTTTCAGGTGTTGTGTAACGGACCAGGAACATGTGTTCCTATCTGTTTATCTGCCCTTCTCCTTGGGATACTAGGAATAAAGAAAGTGATCATTGTCTACGTTGAGAGCATCTGCCGTGTGGAAACGTTATCCCTGTCCGGAAAGATTCTGTTTCATCTCTCAGATTACTTCATTGTTCAGTGGCCGGCTCTGAAAGAAAAGTATCCCAAATCTGTGTACCTCGGGCGAATTGTTTGACAAATGGCAACTGACTTCTTTAGAATTTTGCAGTTAACAGTAGTATATACTCAAATTGAGGGGAAAAAAACCCTACATGTTTATCGTAAGGTGTCTGACAGTCCTGAGAATTATTGATGGTAAGGAATAAAAAGTGTACAGCGGACTCAGTGAAGAAACAGCCTTCTCTAATGAAACAAGCATTGATAAGCAATAACTACTAAATTACTAGATAAAAATATGTATCACCACCTGAAATTTTCTTCTGACTATTGTAGTGGTATTTTTTTAAACATAACTAAATATAGAGTTTGTATGATTAGTAACATTTCCTGTCCTACAGCTTTTTTAAGTATTCTATATTTTAAAAGAAGAGAAAAAGAAAGGTATTTCTGAGTTTTTGTTCAGATACAAAAGGCTTTATTTCCTGTATGGAAACACTGATGTCCCCAGTGAATCCTTTCGGCATAAAGGAAGCAGTTATATTAAATTGGCTTCATGACAATTTGTACTCCACAAGCCTCCAGATCTTTGAGCATAAACCACTATCTTTTTTTGTGCTTCAGTCTTGCCTTTTGAGTAGTTGGCTTTAATACAGAGTATATTCTAAAAGCTCTTGTTTAATTGTTAAAATAAATTAAAAGATGACCATTGTCATAGTAATAAAAACATGATTCTACTTATCAGTAATTCAAACTCTCAAAACATTAACAAAATGCTTTAGTAAATACTACACAGTGTCGTGGCTGTATCTGTCCCTGGCATTTTGAGATGTTTAGGCTTGCTAGATTATGTATTTACTAGACATTTGTATAGTATTTGCTGTATACCAGATATTCCTGTAAGTGTTTTTCAGAAAATAACCTTAAGAACTCAATGATGTAGGAACTGTTACTATTCCCATTTTACAGCTGACCTGTCCAAGACCGCATGGGTAGTAAGTGGCAAAGCCACAGTTCAAGTTCAGGTAAGGCTGGCTTCATAGCGGGGCCGGTTCCATGGGTGTGTGGCCTATGCAGTCACAGAGTTCTACACGTAAGAGGGCCCACACTTGGTTTAATGTTCTGCTGTCACTCTCTTGAATTTCTTAATAATTTTTTAAACAATCAACTGATATTTTAGACCCTATAAATTATGTCGTTGGTCCTGTGTTTCTGTGTTGAGACTGTGTTTCTACTGTGCCATGTAGACTGTGCCATGTCTACTGTAATAGAAGTACACATTTAGTGCTGTACCTGGCCCAGGGAGCTCCTAAAACAGGAATTCTAGTTCCCTCCGTCTAAGCTCTGCTTTAACAAAGCAACAAAAGGAAGGAAGGAAGGAGGGAGGGAGGGGAAGGAAGATCCTCCCCTGTAGTATTTCAGTTTACATATAGTTTTATAAGTATGATATAAATCTAAAGAAATGGTGATTAATGAAGGGATTGAATTTTAGTGAAAAGAGACATGATTACTCACGATCATGTAAAATTTAAATCTTTTTTTTTTTTAAAAGAAAAAGAAATAACTTCCTTTTCTGAATCAAGTAACATGTGTATCTGTCAGCCAGACATTTTCCTAGGTTTTTGGCTGGAGAAATGTGTGGCCAAAGATGTCTCAGAATGGTGAGAACGCTTGGCTGTCTGGATTTAGTGCACCTGGGGCAGCCAAGTGCTAGTTCACTGTGCTTTTATTTTAATCCTCAAATCTCAGGCACTGGCTGTTTCCACTGACCTATAGACCTGGAGTATCAGACGGCCTATTAGTATCATTCAACAAGGGCTGAGGTGAAGTAAGCCTTGACTTTTCTGGAGAGAATGTGATTTTTTTCAGGGACAGCAGCATCTGCATTTTATTCCTGTTTAAGGCTTTCTCTGCTCTGTACTTTGTTCCTAAGTGGCACTAGTTAATTGAATGGTAAGGGAAAGTGAACTGCATTTAGTGAATGCTTCTCTGTGCTGTGGGGCAGCTTCCCCAGGCCCCCACTGGTAATCCTGCTGCAGAGGCCCCCGTCAGGTCAGAACTTACAAAGATCAGACCAGAGAGAGTTGTAGAAAAGATGCTATAATTTTTTCCAGAAACATATGTCCCAGATGTTTTGCAGAGCCTTAACTTAAGACAGTGGTTAGCCTGGAATGTCAGAGAAAGAATGTGTGTGTGTTATATCACCAAAAGTTTAGAAATAGTATATCTTTCATAGGTTCAGGCTGCTGTGCACTCATTCAGAGCCAGGCTTAGGCGCGTTATTGCATCTTCCTGCTCATTCAGATTACTTGGTAAACAAGTACATGCTCTGCTGTGTGTTATTGTTATGGCTAATTTGAGTCATCAAGGTCCCATTAGCAAAGGGGGCTGGTTTGAGATTATGGTAGGGGCACAGTTTCTTTGCTGTGCATTCCTGTGATATTCAGAAAGAGTAGTCTCAACTCAAACTGAAGAAGGTGAGTAGCTAACTTGTCCCTTCCAATTCCTCGTAGAACACTCTGGAATGCAACTTTTACTGTAGGAGACTGTTCATGAAAAAATTAATTAAATCAGTCTTCAAATGAGAGGCAGGGAAACCACACATCCTGCCCACACCTACTTCCCTGGAAGATTTCTATCTGCAGTTCAGCCGTCCCAAAAGGTCTCAGCCGCTTGCCAGGTCAGAATGTCTAACTGTTTCAAAAAGGATGCCCAAAAATCATGACAGGAAACTTTAGCCTGGAACGAAGAGTGCTATGAAACCGTGTCAACAAGAGGAGTGGTGTACACTTGTGAGCTGAGCAGCAAGACGTCCTGGCTAGGAAGGAGATGGCCCAAGCTTCCCCTTATAAAAGCAACTGGAAACACATTATTTTACCTTTCAAAGATACATGGTAAGTTAAAATTGAGAAACGTACCCCTTTACTATGCCGGTCCTTGGGTTGAATCAGTGCTTTATTTTTTCTGAAAAACCCCATCCCCCAAAAGGCATTTGATAGCAATGTATTAAGCACCTTTTACCAATGATGAGAATATCATAAGTATTAAAGGAAATGTTCCTTCTCCATACGGGTCAGCGCTTGAAGCCCAGCGGGGTTTCTTGATAATTTCAGCCCTGACACACAATGAGCAGACACCCAAATCTTGTCCACTCTGAACATTCTTGTGTCAGGGCCCATCACTCTAGCACTCTAAAAACAAATCATCTGCAATTGTGTCCTTGCTGCCAACTCATTTTAAACGTGAATTTGACATAGCTCCTCCTTTCCCCACTGGAGAAACTGATGCTAGCCCGCTAGCTTCCATCACGTCCCCCAGGCAACAAACTTTGGGATCATTTTTGTTTTTTCACTTGTTCCTTACCCACATATAATTGGTTGCCTTTTAATTTCATTCTCCCCAGAATTTTCTCTTGTGTTTCTCTTCTCTCCTTGAAATTACTTTTACTGTTCCTCTTCTTTTTCATCACCTATTGATTCTGCCTTTGACTTAGTTCATAGCTACCCTTTCCTTTTCAGTCCCATGGTTACAACCTAAGCCAGCTCTTCAACAAAAATGTCTAGCTTGATGAGTACATTTTATTGAGGAACTGAGGAAACATCTGTGGAAGGAACAAATGAATGGTTTTGTTAATTATTTATTTTGTCTTCAGAGACTACACCTCATGCCAGTTTTGTATCCTTGTTCTACTTTTTTCTTTTTTTTTTGAGACAGTCCGGCTCCATCACCCAGGCTGGAGTGCAATGGTGCAGTCTCGGCCCACTGGTTCACTGCAACCTCTCCCACCTGGCTTCAAGTGATTCTCGTGCCTCAGCCTCCAGAGTAGCTGGGATTACAGGCACGCGCCACCACACCCAGCTAAATTTTATAATTTTAGTAGAGATGGGGTTTTACCATGTTGGCCATGCTGGTCTTGAACTCACAACCTCAGGTGATCCACCCACCTCAGCCTCCCAAAATGCTGGGATTATAGGTGTAAGCCACCACACCTGGGCCTTGTTCCACATTTTATAATATTTATACCAAAGAGAGGTTAAGTAATTTATTAAAGATTATAGAACTACAAAGCAGCAAAGCTGAGATTTGAACCAAGGCATTCTAGCTCCAGCCAGGTTTACCTTAATATCTATGTTAGGGTTTTTTTTTTTTTAAAAGTGCTAGAAAGGAAATAAATGAGGTCACAGGGTACTATGATGGAGTAGAAGGTAGTTGGTGTTCTAGATAGGGAAATCAGGAAAGGCCTTTCTAAGAAAGTGGTATTTTAGTTGAGTTCCAAAGTTCCAAAGGATAATGCCTTAAATATTGGTCCTCCTTCTACTTCACTTCCAACTTAGATTTTGCCTCACCCACAGGCTTTGTCTTCAGCTAGTTTCTGCAAATTCTCTAACTCTGTGACATAGCCAGCCATTCCAAAGGTTAGTGCCAAGTTCCACACCATCAGATCACAGTCCTTGTACTCAGAAACACGTGAGGAAGGAGCAGGGAATGATCTTGCTAATTATTTATGTTTGTCTTCAGGGACTTTACCTCAGGCCAGGTTTGTATCCTTGTTCCTCCGTTGGTAGTATTTATACCACAGCTCTACAAAACATAGGCACTAATTAAATACTTAAATTACTTATAGCTTCAGACTTGTCTTTCACTTCAGTTGTATTTTATCTAGACCAGTGTGTCACAAATGTTTTGGTCCCAGGACCTCATTGTACTAAAAACTTATTGAAAACCAGCTGGGCGCAGTGTTTTACACTATGCAATCCCAGCACTTTGAGAGGCCAAGGCAGGTGGATTACTTAAGCCAAGGAGTTCAAGACCAGCCTGGGCAACACGGTAAAACCCCATCTCTACAAAAATTACAAAAATTAGCCAGGCATGGTGGCTCACACCTATATTTCCAGCTAGTTGGGAGGCTGAGGTGGTTGGATTGCTTGAGCCCAGGTGGCAGAGGTTGCAGTGAGCCAAGATCATGTACTTCAGCCTGGGTGGCAAAGTGAGACCCTGGCGCAAAAAATAAAATAAAAATTGAAAAGTCCAATAAGCTTTTGTTTATGTGATCTATATTTCTCAATATTTACCATTGTAGAAATGAGAGAAAAATTTTCATCATGAGAATACAAAAGGACATATTCCATTGGCTGTCAGAACAATATCATCACACATCATGTATCATCTGGAAAACTAGACCATCATGAGAATAACAAGGCAAAGGCAAATAACGTCTTAATATTACTATGAAAATAGTTTTGACCTCATAAACCTCAAAAACACCTTGAAGACTCCCAGGGACCCCAGGACCACATTTTAAGAACTGCTGTTCTATATAATGTCACATCTCTCTCTCTCTTTTTCTTTTTTCCAAATAGATACAGGGTTTCATTATGTTGTCCAGGCTGGTCTCAAACTCCTGGCCTCAAGGAATCCTCCTACCTTGGCCTGCCAGAGTGCTGGAATCACAGGCACGCAGCACTGTGCCCGGCCTGTCTCCTCTTCGGTCAGTCAGTGATCTGTATATTAGTTTTATTGCGTGTAAAAAATTGCCACACATATATTGGCTTAAGACAATACATTATCTCATAGTTTTGTAGGTTAGAAATGCAGGCAAAGATGGTTCTCTACTCAACATCTTTAAAGGCTGAAGTCAAGATGATGGCCAAAGCTGAGTTCTGATCTGCCATTCTGAATCCTCTTTCAGATGCATTCAGATGGTTGCTGACAGAATTCATTTCCTTGCAATTGTAGGATTCGTGGTGGCCTGTTTCCTGTCTTTTAAGGACTCACATGACTGGGTCAATATAATCTCCCTTTTGATTAACTCAAGGTCAACTGATTAGGACCATAATTACATTCCTTTTGCCACGTTAATGTAACATAATCAGAGGAGTGATATGTCATATTCACAGATCCCACTCATATTTAAGGATAGTAGATTATCCAGGGCATGTAAATCAGGCAATAGAATATTAGGGGCCACCTTTTTTTTTTTTTTTTTTTTTTTTTTTTTTAAGACGAAGTCTCACTCTGTCACCCAGGCTAGAATGCTATGGTGCAATCTCAACTCACTGCAACCTGCTCCTCCCTGGTTCAAGCAATTCTCATGCCTTAGCCTCCTGAGTAGCTGGGATTACAGGAGTGTGCCACCAGCCTGGCTAGTTTTTGCATTTTTAGCAGAGATGGGGTTTCACCATGTTGGCCAGGCTGGTCTCGAACTCTTA